AAAAAATTCGTTTTTTTAACTTACAGTATCAAAAGTTTAGATGGAGTTGCTGGTGGAACCGCATTTCACGCAGATGCTGCTTTAGTTGTTACATGGTATAACACGGCATCCGCAATTGCTGGAAGATCTGATATTGATGCCGGTAAATTGGCAACATATCAAGCTATCTGGCTTACAGATCAGGTTCGTTTTAAAAACCCTCCTCACTATTCTAAAAAATGAAAAAAAGCAGATAATTATGTGAAACGTCATAGATGCGTGGTTGTATACAGTAGTATTAATTTTGCGTGCAATATTTTGCCTCGTTTTCAATAATTTGAGCGTTTAAAGAATGTGCACTCAGTAAAGTTGTTTTGATATGTAGATAGTTACTGCACACTGCAGTCGGCGACTATGAACACTACTGTGCGATTACATATCAAACAATGATTTGCTTTACAATTGTTAGAAGAAACTATTGTAAGAAATTCAAATAAGACATCAAAGTATTTACAAAAAAGCTTTACTTCTGTGGTTTTAAAATTTTAATTTAAAAAATAATTGTTTTGCGCTTCAGCATAGTCTTCGTCTTACTATTGGTCGCATTTAAGGCAAAACATAATAACCATTTCTTAGTCCCATAAACTAGCATTGTGTTTCCAAAATATATTATTTTAGCAAAACAAAAGTTAATCGACCTCAATTTTTTAAGGGTCGAAAATTAGTTTTTTATTTTGTTTAAATAATATAAAGGTTACTGTAAATATTAATTTAAATTAGGTAAATCTGAATTGGCTTTTTTTCTAGCCTGGGCGACTCAGCTACGTTATATTCAATTATGATAAACTCGGGTTTGATGCCACAGATTTTGCTGGAAGTTCAAGAAGTGGTCGTTGTCAAGTAATCTTTATTACATAACTGTTATACCTTAGATAAACCTTCCATATGCTAAAGATACATTCTTACAAAAAAATTTATTTAAGGCACTTTTCAATGGCGGTAATCACACTGGAACCGTACCAGTTGATCCCTCATTTTTGTACAAAACTAGCCCGAAAGTTTTGGCACAACGTTCCGCAGTGCCGCATGTTGTTCGTGGCCGCTATATGTTCCGAGTAGATGACGTTGTGAGACCAGCTGGTTGCTCAAACAAAACTGGTGGTACTTATCCGTTGCTCATATATCCAAACATTGTGAATATGCTTGGTGAAATGACCGTTGACGTCAATGGAATTTGTTTAATGCGGGAAAAGACCTACGTTCTTATGATAGAACAGAGGCAAACGGCTGCATGTAAAGTTCTGAATCCGGCAATGGCTCGTTGTACACTACCAAAAATTTATGACTGGGGCAGCAAGACAGTGTATTTTCAACCGCAAGATAGTGGCGCGAACGAAGAAAAAGCATTTGTGGGCTACATATACTTTGGTAAATGAAATTTTATCAAAAATCTTTTTTCTTTGGTCTTTGCACGTGTTAATGGAACGTGTAACTGGTTTCTGATGTTTATCTTTGATGTTATTATAGTACCGCCAACACTTGATCCGATGAGGCTTGAGATTGGCAATATATACAATTGGTTCGAGAATCCAATAGCTACAGATGTTAGTAAAATTTACGTTTTTCTAGCTCTTCTTGTTCTTCAAAATATTTTTAAATTAAAGTGATTCAATTAAATGGTTTGCTTATTAAAGTTTTTAGTTGAATTTCTAAACTTGTGCTCAAATTTTTAATAAGCAATAAGAGTACTTCTCACTTGTTTTATCTCTTTTTATTCAGGTGATGCCTTTGTCATGGTATCCAAGAAACTTTACAAATCCGGAATACACAAACACGGATCAAAATACGCGATTCAACGACGACGCAATGTATAGTGTTCAACTGGGCCTCTATGTCATCGGTTACAAAGAATCATTAGATGATCAGGTTTCACATTCAGCTTCTGTTGTGCATTATTGCTTTATCAGTTCAGAACTCAAGAAAGTTTAAAAAATTGCTTTAAAATTAAAATTTGCTTTTGTATGCAGAATCATATAGTCGTCTCAAATGTAAAAGCAGTATGCTTAAACAAATCAAGTTCAAGAGAAACAAGAATGAGCACAGAATTTTCAGCCATAGTTTTCTTCTGTTAAAAATACAATAACTTCTGTTCTTGTCAAACTTCCTATTTTAGATAAAAAAATTCCGGCCAGAACACAGAGTTCTTTGCCGCTTGGCAACATACTCAAACGAAAATAGATACGAATACAGCTTTAAGCCACAGGAAGAAAGAATACGTCTAAATCAGGTAAAGCGACAAAAATTTTTCCAAAAAAATTGTTTTTTTTTGGAAAAATCTTGTCAAAATTTGTTTTTCAAATGACTTTCTCGCTATTTTTCGCAAATAAACTGCAGGTTGAAAGATGGTACTTGAACGATTGGGAAAGAATGAATGAACTTTTTACTTATCGATTTGGTTATCTCAAACTCTCTCCAATTACCAATAACGACGACGCTACTCAAGAACTCAAATCTGGGTAAGCTGTTGTTATAAATCTTGTCGGTAACTTCGAAAGTTAGCTTATGATTTCCTTCATGCAAACATAGATTGCAGCTACTGTAATTACTCTTTTTCGGCAGAACTGTTGCCACATTTTTAGATTGGTGTCGGCTCCTATTTCACTGCATTGGCTCTGGACAACAAACAACCCTCAGTATGCCACAACTGTGTTTTCTCAACAAGACAAAGATGCAAGAACCAAATTTGTAGCTGAAAAATCACGAGAGATGTGCCATGACTGGTAAGTGTGAAATGAAAATTGGCTGATGATTTAAATGCATTTTAACTACTGATCAGTTGGCTAAAAGTACGCAAAAAGAAGTCTCTTTCGTTGTGTATCCGATTAAAGAAGTTCCAAAATTTTCAGGTTCAACGAGGATGGGGCGTTGGAAAATTTTATCCGGGATACTGAGACAAATGCGTCATGTCCTTGCATTGAGCGTCAGGCGGCGATGGACTTAGGCAGATTTATGCCGCACCCTCGTTGCTCACATGTTTGTCCTTCATAGCCGCTGATTTCAAATTAAAATTAGAATTTATTTAGAAGTGTTACTGCTTCATTGTGAACTGAGTATGAGCAGAAAATTTTTTTGAGAAGGTGAGAAGAAATAAACTGTTGATAGTGATTCGTTTTTAGATTTTCCGTGATGTAACATGTACATCAACTATTGGTGCTAAAAACTGTTACATGTCTTCGCAAAACATTTATGGGTCTTATTCTCGTAACGATTACTCAGAGTATAATCATGAACAATCTGCGTTAGTTTTTGGCTTGTTTTGCAATTTATTTTGTTTTTAAACTTGAATAACTAAAATTACACAACTAATTGGCTGCAATGTCATTTTTTGCGCTTTTTTAACTGTGAAGAAACAACTTCAAATTTTTTTAGACGCTTTCCAACACATTATGGGCAAGTGTGCTGTTATGATGAAAAAGGAAAGTTGATGCAAACTAGTTATCAACCCATTATTAAAGTGGTAGATCAAACTCCATACAACCCCGGTTATCCGCTGCGTGCCTACGAATTTGGGACCCACCCTTATATGGGACAATTTGAGGCAAGCCACATCATCTGTAGTAATCTAAATCTGCAATATATTTGAGTTATGAAATGTTTTCCAAATGACTTAATAATTTTTTTTAACACCATAAATCCTCCCTTGATGCTTCCGCTTAACAGTATGGACATTTAAGGTGCCAGGCTTGTCAGCTTTTCATCACGACTACATGCCGTACTTCCTGTGCTGCAAATTTGCAAAATTCCGTTGTCAAATGTTTTATTGGAGACGGCCAAGTAGCGGCTGTCAAGAGTATCAGCCGCCAGCCATAGGTTAGCATAGTTCCTTTTCATGATTTTTTAATCTCAATTTTCAAAGTGTTTGCAGGGGAAACGAGTTTAAAGGTGAAGGAAATAGGAAATTAAATTTGTCTGTTTTTCAGGTACTGCTGTAGGAGCGGGTAGCTTTAATACAATCGATAATGATAAATTTATCTTTAATGAACCTGGAGTGTACACTCTGTTATACATTCCGCAAACGACAGCGACTCCTGAGGTTAGAATTCAGGTTCAACTTGAAAGGTATCCAAATCGACGAATTGATTTTGGTAAGTTTCAAATTCTTTTCTTTTTTTTTCTTGATGATAGTATTTTTTGAATGGTTTAAGGAAATTGAAGAAAACTGGAAGTGAATTTAAGACTAATTCTCATCTTTGTGGTTCAGGTCTGCTTGGACGTTATCTTGGGCAGTCTCAGCTAGTACAGCCAAGTAATGTTACGGTCATTACTGGGATTGCTGTTGAAGCGACAGGAACAGACAGAGTTCACGTTCTAGTCCGAAAGGACACAAGACGTTTTAGATATCGTACTAGTGTCATTGTCAACAACATTCTTAGATATTTTGATACTATGCAACTACAGAGATTTAAAGGTCAATATCCTAAAAATTTTCGCATCAGCTACAAGTGTTAATATAGTTTTTATCGCACTTTTACAAAGCTACAAAAAGTGTGAAGTTTAATAGTTTCAAATGTTTCTGCCATGAAGCATTTTAAGATGTAAGTCTGTCGGGATAGTTTCTCATACGGGTATGAAATGGGAAGAAGAAAAAAAAGCATGCATGAAAAGAAGGAAAAAAGTGATTTAAAAGTACAAAAAAACAGTATTGAAACTTATGTATAAGAGTAATTTTTTTTAGGAGTTGTTGTATATGTGAATAACGTTGAGCGTGGACAACCAGAAATTTATGTTGTTCTTGAAGAAGCTCAGATTGGTATACGCATAAGAGAATCATTTGCGTTAGACATTGACCGTTTACGAAACTACCAGGAAAGTATGGGAATGTTAGATTTGGTACTGAGCGTTCCACCACAGTATGGAGTTGTAAGTTTATTAACTATTAAAAAACCAAAGTGTGAGTTAGAGAGTTAGAATAGCTGCTAAGTAATTAAACTGCTTATTTTAGCGTCCTGACGGAGATAAGACTCGAGAGCAAGAGGTTCGTCAACGGTACAATCTGCCGCGAGTTTCTGGCTTAATGCGACCATTTCCTGATCAGTCGTCAGCTTCGTATACCGGTGGCCTTACACTAAACGATGTCAACTCAGAGTCTTATCGGCAACAGATAATAACAAATTGTTAGTGTCTGCCGTAGAAAATTTGAAGAAATGCATTGAAAAATCTTTTCAAACTTGAAAATTTCTAGATCGTGTTCCGGGAACTGGTGAAAGTGGAAGTGAGCAGAATATGGCTGGCACACTCAATCAAAATATTCCAACTGATAATATGTTTACCACTAGTCGTGAAGAAGATAGAAAATACGAAGTGTTCCCAGAAGCAAGTATGAAGAGTGAACCAGTTTATAAGGCAGCTGAGGAATATACAACGTAAGTTCAAGCTATAACAAGTGCTTAATTGAAATTATTAATCGTCGTAGTGAAAGCGCTTTGAATCCAAAAAGTTCGGAAAAAATGGCAGATAAGTGGATTGGTCATACTATACATTTACAGCTTTTTTTTGTTCTTATAATTTCTTCATACGTATTTTAATATAAAGAAATTTACTTTTATATTTTTAGCGGCACTCACCATTTTTATCCGCGTACAGGACAAACGATTACCCAGCTTTTGCAAACATGCCGTGACATTCAGGAAAACAGTCGAAGTAAGCCAAGTTCGTTTAGCTTTTCAAAATCATATTGTCGTTATTAAATCCAATCTTCTGCAGCAAATTTAAATCCGGCTCAGTCTTATGCGACAGAACAATTCGGACTTAAAGAATGTCCGGACAATCCGTCTCAAATTCTACAGGATTGTGGCGACAGTGTTACGTGCCTTTATGACTACGCATTGTTGAATGCTCCGACGCTTGCTTTAGAAGCACAAAAAAGTTGGAATACATTTATTCGTGAAAGAGGGGAAGCAGTACGGCACTGTAAGTAATATACTGTTTGGAAAGAAATGACTATGTTTATGGGCATTGTGAGCACTTTTTTTTCAGTTGTATGACTCTTCAGTCATCACCAAAGCAGAGACAGCAGTCAGCAACATTATCAAAATATATTTTGAACTGTCGGTGTGAAAGTTAAAATACAAAACTTTTTTTTTTAAGATAACAGTTGTGGACCGATTAATATTGAATATCCTGAATATATGGCAAAAACTTCACCGATGGCGTCTGGCTATCTTCAGGGTGACGTCGCTCAGTTTACGTGCTTCCAGTCTCATTGGATTAAGGGAACTACAGAATTTAAATGTATGGTTTACAAATTGACCTTTATTTCCTACAATCTGTTATAGCTACGAGAAAATCGACAAAAAGTTACGCTCTTTTAGCAACAGATTAATCTTGAAATCTTATAAGAAGTATTACGCTTCCATTGTTAAAATAAAATTATTTGCAGCTCTTTGCAAGTGTTTAGAGCGTCGTATTAAAGAAAAAGAGGAAAAAAGTTGTATACTACTATCATTTTAATCATTGACAATGATGTTCGCTTAAATTATTACTTCTTAGTCTAATAATTATCAATTTTTAATTATAATTTTTTTAAGGCGGCATTATTGTTGATAGAAATCATCCAAATAATTACCGTTACGAATGGACTAAAGGTTCACAGCCGTGGTGTAGATCGCGAACCAAAGATAATCTGTTCAAATGGCTGGCAGCTGTTTTGGGAACAATAGGAATTATTATGGTTAGTAATTGATCGATAAACCAATTATGGTGTATAGAATCAAGAATAAAGTCAGCAGTTGAGTATTCGTTGACAACATTGGAATTTTTGGTGAAATAAATATTATTTTAGGTAATTCTTTTAATATTTTTGTGCTTTTGGTGTATCAAACAAAAGCAACTGGCAGAGAAAGAAAGAGGTTTAACATCTACAGCAGCATCGCAACGTGAACCACTACGGAACCCCGTGGTAAATAACATGAACTTATTTTTCTCCTATTAAACTTAGCTTGATAGGAATAGATAATTTGTTAAATATATTTAATGTTTTTTATCTGACGCCTTCTAAATACATTGG